GGCGGCAGTGAGAACTGGTTGATTTCAAGAAAAATCGGTTTCATTCTCCGGCTTTTTCGACATATACAAATATTTTTTTTTTATTTTCCAAACTATTGTTTACAATTTACGAAAAAATTATTCTTTTCAATTTTCTCTTATTTTTAGATTTTTTAAAATTTTCTTTCATTTTCAGTTTTTTCAATTTTCTATTATTTTTAACTTTTTTCCATTATTTTTTTCTCCTTTTTTTCATTTAATGTAAAAAATTTACTTTAATTACATGTACATTACATTTTACTTTTTAAATTTTCGTTTTTTAATTTTCATATTTTTTAAAATACTTTTCCTTTTTCAACTTTCATATTTTTCTTTCTTACTTTTCGTATTTTTGTTTTAATTTTTTTTTACTTTACTTTGTGAATGTGGAAAATTTTTGTTTAAAATAATTTCAAATTAAAAAAACGAGGTTTCTGATTAATTTTTCTAAGTTTACTTTCTCAAGTCGAGAAAATTGAAAATTATTTTTCGTAAATTGTCCTTATTATTACATAACTATACAAATCGAGTTAATTTTGTGTTTTTAAAAATTTTTTTTTATCAAAACTTTTCTTTTAATTCATTTATTATTTTATTACTAATTTCAGGTTCAAAAAATATTCTTTGCAATTCTCTTTCTGTTTAATTTTTTTTATAATATCAATTTTTTTCTTCTTTTCTCAAACGAAATTTACATCAAGTCATTAATTTTAATTTTTCTTTAAATTTTGAAAAAAATTCTATTCGAAATTTTTTAACATTCAAAGTCTTTTCGAAAAGTGAAGAAAAAAAGTATTTTAAATTATAAATAATTATAATTTAAATTTTTAATAAAATTTTATGATGAAAATAAACAAAAGACTGAAGAGAGAAAAAATTATAAATAGAATATTTATTCTATTTATTTATTTTTTTTGTATTTTGAATTTTCGAAAAACTTTGAAATAATTTGAAATAAATTTTTAATTTTGCTTTTTAATATAAAAACACAAAATTAATCTGCTTTTTCTTTTCCTTTATACATTCTTTTCTTTTCTATTCGCTATTTAAGATAATAAACGATCGCACAAATTCTTATTCTCTCTAAAAATAGTATTTTACCAATAGTTAACAATGTTAATTATATTTTTTTTCGCCAAATATTCAACAGCCTAATATATAAAAAAACTATCAGCGATGCAATCACTAATATATATAATATATATTTATATATGAAAATATTTCCTATTTTCAAAAAATTAAAAAAAATCCTCTCTATAGGCCTTTTTTTCTTATTTTCAAAAACACATTTTTTTTTATTTTCTATATTTACAAAAATGTGTGCGTTTTTTTTATATAGAAAAATTCCTCTTATTCGTTGAGATAAGTTTTCGTAAATTGTTTTTTAAAAAATAATTTTTCTTTTCTAAAAATTGTTTTCAGAAAACCGATACAAAAGAATTTTTAATGTTTTCTGTACAAAAAAGCGAATCTTTTTTAGAGGCTAAATAAAGAAGATTTAATATTTTTATAAAAAATTTTTCACACGAAAAAAATAAATTTCAAAATATTTATTCTTTTTAAAAATATAGATTTTTGGATTTTATAAAAGCCGTTTGTTTCATCAGGAGAGAAATAATTCTCTTTTTAAAATATTTATATTTTTCTTTAAATTGTATTTTTCGAATATTTTTCCAATTATTTTTCTTTTATTGTTTGAAACGTTTTTTCTGCTTTCTTTTTTCTTAATTTTTTTTCTATTTTCTTATAAATTGTTTCATTTTTGGTATATTTCGATTTTTTTTATCCGAAAATTTTCTGTTTATGTAATAAAATACTTTTTTTCTCTCTCTTTCTTTCTTTCTTAAAATTTAGTTAGAATGAATAAAAATATAATGAAAAATTTCTCGATTTTTCAATATTTCCCTGAATCGGTTTTCGAGATATTTTTAAACGAAGTGTTCTTTTTCTTTTTTTGATTCTCGTGTCAATTGTTTACTTAAAACAAAAAACGTTTTTCTATGAGCAAAAAATCCTTTCGCCAAGATTCTTTTTTTTATAATTGAAACTTGATTTTTTAAAGTCATAAAAAATGGAAAAAAATTGTTCTTTTTATTGCAAATCGATTTTGTTACCGATATTCGATTTTTTTTCTGTCGATTATTCGAATTATTCAACGAATTTTTGATTTCGTTATTTTCGTAATTTATTGTTTAAACAATTTTTTTTCCATTTTTTTTTTTTTTTGGCAAAAAGTTTCGATACATTTTTTTCTTTTTTTCATAAACCTTTGATAGAATTTTTTTCTTTTAAAATACTTTCGATACTTTTTTCTATTTTTGAAAAAAGTTCTACTACAATTTTTCGCGGTTTCAAAAACAAATTTTGATACAATTTTTCATTAAAGAGAAAAAAATTTCACGCTACATTTTTTTTGTTTAAAAAAAAGTTTCGATATACAACTTTTTGCTTTGAAAAAATAGTTTTGCTGCAACTTTTTATTTTGAAAAAAGTTTCGAGATACAATTTTTTATTTATGAAAACAAGTTTCGACGCGAAAAGTTTCTTTTGGCGAAAAGATAATCGGATTTCTTTTTTGTGCATTTTGATCGTCGTAAAAAGAGAATTTCTAAACTTAAAGTCTACAAAAAAAAACTTAATAATCTAAAGAGCGCGCTCTAGTCTAAAAAATAAATTTTCATTTTGTACATTCCACAACTTTGCTGAATGAAATTCCGCGCAGTTTTTTTTTCATTTGTGTTTGTCAATCGTTGCGTATTTATAAGTAGAAAAAAAGCAGGACCAATCATACACTAAATGACAAAATTCTTTTTCTCTCTCTTTCACTCTTTTTTTTTAAGTTGAACCACTCATTTTTTCTTTTTTTATTAATAATTAAGTAAGTCTTTGGCGTTTGTACCGATTATTTAAAATCTTTTTGCGTTAAAAATTGGACAACATTTTTCATTTTCATCATCGCAATTCCAGAAAATAACAGGAAAAAAAAAGATTTTCTGGAATTAACACTTTTTTCTTGTTTTGTTGTCACTTTTTTTCTTTTTTTTTAATAATAAATGCTTCTCACGGCAAAATGTGAAAAAAATCCCTGAACCAAATTAAAAAGAAGAAGGTGTCGACGAAGGAGCGGAAGACAGAAAATTTACGAAAATTAAACTTACTTGGCAAAAAGGAAAAAAAGTGAGGCGAGGGGATGGAAATCAAGACTCCTGGTAGAAAAAAAATAACTCTTCACAAACAAAACTTGTTGCGAGTCTTGATTTTTTGATAAGTTTCACCTTAAAAATCTAGTTTATTAAAACGATTCGCGCTTCCTGCGAGAATTCGCAAATAATTTTCAATGTTTTTCTTTCTCTCTTTCACTTTTTCAAGAACAATGCTCGTTGCACCCATTTAAAAAAAATATTAAATACGAAATACGAAAAAAGTACAGAAAAGAAAAAAAAATACAACAAAAAAAAAGAAAAAGAAGAAAATTACATATTTTAAAAACTGGAGTAAAAAATGTTTTAATCAAATTTTTCCACTAATTTTAATGATCTATTTAGCAAAATTAACCGAATTATTTATACTAAAAAAATAACCGAATTATTAATACTTGCTTTATTTATTAATTTATAAATTTAGTAATACTTTGAGAAATTTAACGAATTATTAATTTTTAATAATAAAGATAAGAAAATTAAACGAACAATATTTAAATTTAGATAATTAGATGAACCATTAATATTTAAATTTTGAAAAAAATGTTCAAATTTAGAAAACTAAACGAATTGTCAAAAATTATATTTAACAGAATTAAACAAACTGTCAATAATTAAAATTTTTAATTTAATAAACAAAACGATGAATTATTAACAATTAAATTTATAATAATGTAAAAAATGATTAATAATCAATTGAAATTAACATAATTACTTAAATAATTAGTTAATTATTTATTTAAACACTTAATTATTTATTAATAATTAATAGTCTAAACGATAAACTATTTAGAATTAAATTTAGAAAATAGAACAAATTATTAACCTCCCTACGGTTAACCCCGAGTATACTCGGGGTGTATCTTTCATTTATTTATTTAAAAAAAATTAAATTAGAGAATCATATAAATAAAACTCTTAGTGTAACTTGAAGCTAAATAGTTATATTTAGTATCAGAATAAATATGAAATAGTCAAAATTAATTTTAACAAAATTATAAATTTATTTCCTGCAAAATGAAAAAATGATAAAACCGTAGGAGGGTTAATAATCAATTAAAATTAAAATAATCAATTAAGGAATTAAGTGTAATTCCTTAATTAAGTAAGTAGGGAATTAAGTTATTTCTTAATTAAGGAATTAATTAGTTAAGTAATTAACAAATTTCTTAATTGATTATTTATTTAAAATAGAATTAAAAAAGTGAATTAATGATAATTAAAATTAGAAAATTGAACAAATTATTAATAATCAATTCAAATTGAAGTAGTTATTAATAATCAAATTAAATGAACGTTATTAATTAAGTAAACGTTAAATTCATAATTATTAAATTTAGAAATTTAGAAAATTAAACAAATTATTCATAAACAATTTAAATTAACCTAATTAACCATATGAGGAATTATTAATAATTAAATGTAGAAAATCGACCAAATTATCAATAATTAATTTTAGCAAATTGAACAAATTAATAATTGATAATTAATAATTCTGCAAAAATTGAATGAAAAAAAGTGAATTTAATAATTGAATTGTAAATTAAAATGAATCATTAATAATTGTTAATTAGCTAATTACTGGAAAAAACAAAAGCAAAGAATGATAAAAAGTGCAAAAAGTAAAAAAGAATAAAAATTGAAATTTAAAACTTGAAAAATGCAATGAAAAAGTTGAAAAAAGAAATAAAGAAAGAAAAAAGCGCAAAAGAAATCCGGAAATAAAGGGAAAATAGAGCGAAAAAATTTGGAAAAAAAGGAAAAAAAAAATTTGCGCATCAATTAAAGTATTAAGATCAACGTTTAATTGACAAAACGTTTTCAAAGGCACAAATCGTGATCGTAAAATTTAAGCTACAATACAAAATTATAATTAGAATATCATCACAATATATAAACTCCAGTTATTTTCACAAACATTTTGTATTGGAAGATCAAAAATTACAACAATTGGAACATTTTCTTTTCTGTAATTATATGGAAAGTTTTTGTTTTTTGGTTTCTTTCATTTTTTTGTTTCCCTCACTATTCTATCATTCTCTCACTCTATCCTCGCTCCTCTCTCTCTCTCACACATTCTCTCTCCCTCTCTTCTTCTCTTTTCCTCTCTCTCTCTCCCTTAACTCCCTTTTCAATCATTTTTCTTTCACGACAAATTTATTTTCATTATTTTTCTACTTTTAAAAAAAAGGAACTTTTTTCAATTTTTTTTTCTTCAGGTCACATCGAGCAGTATGTTCAGTTTTCTCTTCTCTTGGCATTAAACTTCTTCAAAGCAGGTTGGATAAGCGCGATATCGCGTCAAAGGTAGAAACTGCGCGTAACAACAAACAATTAATAATAATAATAATAGTAATAATTTCTAATAATAAGAATAATTCTACTATAATTCGAATTTGAGGCGTAAAAAAAAATAATCACAGAATATCGAATCACAATCGAAACTACGATTGTGACTCGACAAGGAAACACAGCTTTGTCTCTTTTTTTTATGAAAAAATCATGGAGTGAAAATAAAAAAAAATTTGAAGAAATTTCCGCTCGCATGTAAAATTATTTTTTAGGGGGTTTAAGAAAAAAAAAATTGTCCTCGGCACGCAAAGTGATGGAGCGGCGAGAGTTTAGTTTCTTGTACAATTGAGTGAAAAAAAAACCTTTTCTTTCGATTTGTCGTCGTCAATGGAGATTCTCGGTTGGTTTTCATTGAGAATCGAATTAAAAGAAATGTATATAGATACGTAATATATGGTATATAAAATTGTTGGTGTGATTATATATAAAATATATTTGTATTTATATACATGGGGGGGGGGGGTAGTAAAAAAAATTGGATTGTAGCGGTAGATCGCGATTTGTTAGACCACGGTGCCCTCGCGCTCCTTCTCTTGCTGCCGGACAGCGACGGCGGCCTCTACGAGAAGATAGAGACACTTGAATTTGTCCTTGTCTTCCTCGGGTGGTGTTGGAGGCGGCGTTTCGTCGCTGTGAGGACTACATGCGTGAGTGCTATACACCTCAGTTTCCTGTTGAACGTCCGGAGTTGCTGCAAGATGTTGTCTCGGCGCACTCCAATAGGCGGCTTCGCTCACAGTCGATTGGTCCTCGTCCCTGTGTTGACGCAAATTTTTTTTTTATTTTCTTTTCGGTTTAAAAACTGTTTTTTCTTCAAATCGACATTTTTCGATTTTTTTTCTTCTATTCTTCTATTTTTATTATTTTCTATTTCTACTTCTTTTCCATTTTTTTCTATTTCTATTCTTTTTTATTTGAAAAATAAAACCGATTTCTATTTTTTTTTATTTAAAAAATAAAACCGATTTCTATATTTTTTTTATTTAGAAAAAATAAAACCGATTTTTAATCTTTTTTAGTTAAAAAATTAAACCGATTTCTATTCTTTTTTATTTAAAAAAAATAAAACCGATTTCTATTTTTTTCTGCAAGTGAACTGCTTTTTTCATAAAAAAAATTCCCGGTCATGAATTAATTTTCCCGATCATAAAGAAAAAAACTCAAAAATTATTTTCAAGATTTCGATTCAATTATTTTTTTAGAAATTTTTACTAAAATTGTTCTCTAATTCAATTATTTTCAATATTTTATGAGAAAATTCCTTAAACATTCAATTATTTCAAAGAAAAGTTCACCAAAAACTATAATATTTCCAAAATTCACTTGTTTACAAGACAATTTCATAACATTTCGATTAGTTTGAAAATTTTTCAATTAAATATGCATTTAAAAATATAACTAATTGCAAAAAAATGTTACAAAAAACAAACTTATTCAGAATTTGTATTTAACATTTTTTTTAGATTTAACTTTTCTAAAATTTTAATTTTAAACTTTCTGAAATTCATTCCATATTAATAATATTAATTTAACATTCTAAAATATAAAAATAGTTGCTTATAAATTATTATAGGAAAACGAATTGCTATTAATGCAAAATACGGTTTTTTTAAAATTTATTTTCCAAGAAAAACAGAATTTTATTTATTTTAATGTCTCGTTTTATTCAGAATTAAAAAATTAATTTTTGCTTAGAATTTTATTAAAAGTTTTAAAAATAATTTAATTGTTTTGAAGAATTTTATGGAAATTTTCTGAAAATAATTAAATTTACTTGAGGATTTCAATTTAAATTGTATTAAAAATAATTAAATTCTTATAATATTGAATTGTTTCAAGGAATTTTATTAAAATAATAAAATTGAAAATAATTGCATTCTTGTGAAGAATTTTATTATATGTATTAAAATAATTGAATTCTTGCAAATTTTTTCGACGAATTTAATTAAAACTGTATTGAAAATAATTTAATATCGTGCGAAGAATTTTATTAAATTTAAGAATAGAATTGAATTATTTTTAAGAATTTTATGAAAATTTTGTGAAAATAATTAAATTCTTTTGAGGATTTCAATCTAAATTGTATAAAAATAATTAAATTCTTATAATGGAATTCTTTCGTGAAATTTTATTAAAATTATATTGAAAATAATTGAATTGTTTTAAAGTATTTTATTAAAGTGGAATTTTTTAAAATTTTGTTTCTGAGATTATTCAAAATTGAAGACGATTTTTGAATTGTAAAGTTCAATTATTGTCAGAAATAGAAAGAATTTAAAATTTTTGAATATTTTCATTTTTTAAAAGGCTGTTGCGTTTTTTCTTCTATTTAAAAAATAAAACCGATTTTTTCAATTTTCTTATAAAAATTTCGCAGTGTCTTTATTCGAAATCCCAGGGATTTACAATCTTTCATGTTTCACGCTAAAAATCGCGTTTTCGCGATTGAAATTTTAATTTTCGACAAAATTTTGAACTTAAGCGTCGTTTTTAAATTTCGATTTTTGTAATTAACGTTGTTTTTCTTAAAATATAAATTATAAATATTGCAAATGCAAATTAAAATACAAAATCTCGTGGAGAAAATCGTTCGACAAAGAAAAAATAATAAAAAATAATAATTTTCGAGTTTGTAAATTTGTAAATTGACAGAAAGGGTGATGATTGAAGCGCAAATTTTTAAATGATCATTACAATAAATTGCAAAGTTTGCTAAACGTTGCATTTATTTAAAAAAAAAAAAATTTTTAACTCAAAATAGAATTAAAAAACAGATAATTAAAAAAATATATAGAAAATTCATCAAAATAAAAAAAAAAAAAAAATAATAATAGAAATAAAAAAGTGAATAAAAATACAGAAAAGTAATAGAAATAAAGAAAAAAACGGAAAATTATAATAAAAATAAAAAAAGTTGTTAAAAATTATTTGGTTGTAAGTTTTTTTTTCCTGGTATAAAAACTGTTTTTTTTTAATTTCCTTTTTAAAAATGAATTATTTATGCAAAATGAATAACTCACCCTCGTCGGGCAGGATGAGCGATCGCTTCAGCATAACTCGGCTGATTGTTCTGCTCGACTTTGGTCTCAGAATACGGATAGACAATCACGCTGGACCATTGGGATGCTGGACGTTCCTCCTCGCTGTGGGAGCTGCTCTCGTAATCATTCGGACTATCCTCTTCACTTCTGTGATAATTCGATAAATCAATTGTTAATCATTAAAATTCATTTGCATTTTAATGGTAATTTTAATAATTAAATAGTAGATAAATAAAAAATAAATAATAATTAATAAGTAGAAAATTAAATTATTTGTTTAATTGATAAATAAGGGAAAAAAAATTAAATAAATAGAAAAATAAATTATTTGTTTATAATTGATAAATAAATAAAAAATGGGTAAATAAATAATTAAATAAATAGAAAAATAAATAATTTGTTTAATTGATAAATAAATAAAAAAATGGGTAAATAAATAAATTAAAAAATGGGAAAAAATGATTACTAACCGATAGATGAGACCAGTTGCATCTTCGTAATCATGATCGCGGCTACGTTTCGGAGCACTCATTCCAGCGAGAGGATCCCATTCAGGAGTGGCGCGAGGACTGAGACTCGAGGCTTGTTGATGACTTCCTCCTGGCATTTTTTTTCCTCGTCGCGAGATAGTGTATTGAAGAGGATCGTGTCCCTCTCTGCGAATCATTTCCGGCAAAATGCGTCTTCTTGCATTGATAAACCAATTGCATACCTGAAATTCAATTATTTATTTAGTTCATTGCAAAATCAAATCTAAACAATAATAATTAACAATTATTTCTATTTTTTTATTTTTTTAGCTCGTTTATACGAATAAATGAATAAATAAATAAATTTCTTAACATTTACAATAATTTTTTATTTATTTATTTATTTATACATATGAAATTAATTAATATTTCAATAAAATTTAATATTTTTTTTCCACCTAAACTAAAACTAAATACTTCTTTACCACTAAAAACTAGATCCTACTAAAATTATTTAATATTGTTTAATAAATTGTAAAAATTAATATAATCATTTTCTTACTTCTATAAGGCAACACTTTACAAAATAAATAGAAAATGCAAAAATTGTGAAAGTATTTCGAAAAATTTTTTTTTCGAACTAGAAAAAAACTATAAAATATAATGATTTCTAAATTAACAATAAATTATCAGAAAAAAAACAGTTCATAAAAATAAATTTTCAATATTTTTATTATTTTAATTTATATGAATTTTCTAATAATTGTTAATAATTATTAATACATTAAATAATTTCCATTCAAATAATATATAAATATAACAATAATACAAATTGTAAAATAATAATGAAAATAAACAAATAATGTCAAAAATAATATTAATAACAGTAGTAATTATAATTAATTATATTAAATATTAATAATATAATAATAATAATAATTATGATTATTATTATTATTAAATTATTTAATATCATTTATAACTTAGTACGATTGGGCATTAAAAGCCCGTGTATTTTGAATAAATAAATAAATAAATAATGTTTATTGCATCCTATTCAAGGAGAAAATTAAAAGAAAATGGTCGTTATTCCTCGAATTTGCATAAATGCTAAAAAGGAGAGTGGGGACAAAATTTAATGCAAAAGAAATTATTAGAATAAAGAAAGGATAGAAGTCGAGAATATAAATGACCTTTTGACACTTGCAACAGAAAACGACATGTATAATTATAAGTACAGTCGAACCTGGATAAGAGAGAACTGGATAAGCGAGAAACCTCTATAAGCGAGAGAAAATTGCCGGTCCCTTGAACTCTCGCTTATCCAGGTTCGACTGTATATTCTTGCTGGACCATGACGAAATTATTTGCTCCCAATGTTTATCACAAATTTTTATTTATATTTAATTTCAAGAGAACGTTTTCTTTGCCACAACAATATTCACATGTTTCTTATTTCGAGAGAAATTAATTTTTTAAAAAATTTTTTTCGTTTTTAAGTTAAAATTACAACAATTTTTATTTTAAAAATATATTTTTTAAATTATAATTACAGATTTCAAAGCTTAATATTACAATTTTTAAGTTTATTTTACAATTTTGAAGTTCAAATAAAAAATTTTTAAATAAAAACTACAATTTTTGAGTTAAAACTAAATTTTTTAGTTAAAATTAAATGTTTTAGATGAGACCACAATTTTTAAATGTACATAATTTACAACTTTTTTTAGTAAAAATTATTAATTTTAAGCTAAAATTACATGTTTTAAGTTGAAACAAAAATTTGTAAATGTAAATTACTATTTTTAAGTTAAATTTAAAATTTGTATGTTAAAAATATAATTTTTAAGTTAAAATTACCGATTTAAAGTTTCAATTAACATTTTTAAATTAAATTTACAATTTTAAAGCTGAAACTTAAATTAATAAATGAAATGTACAATATTTAAGTTAAAACTATATTTTTTAAGTTAAACACAACAATTTTAAAGATAAGGAGATTAATTTTAAACTTAAAATGTTTATTTTAATCTGTATGTACATGTTGTAAGTTAAAATTAATTTTTTTAAGTGTAATTTGCAATTTTTAAGTAAACTACAATATTTTTATGTTAAATCTACAATTTTTAAGTTAAAAAACATTTTTAAAATTTTAATTACAAATTTTATGGTAGAACTTAAAATTTTAAATTAAATCTACAATTTTCAATTTAAAAATACTTTTTTTAAATAAAAAACTTACAGATTTGAAGCTAAAATTACAATTTTGAAGTTAGATTTGCAAATTTTAAGTCAAATCTACAATTTTTAAGTTAAAAATACATTTTTAAATCCTAAAATGATAAATTTAAAGCTAACATTACAATTTTTAAGTCAAATTTACAATTTTTAAGTTAAAAATATATTTAAAAAATTTTAAATAATAAATTTTAACTTAAAATTACAATTTTTAAGTCAAATTTACAAATATTAAGTTAAAAAAATATTTTGAAAAATTTGAAATAACACATTTGAAGCTGAAGTTATAACTTTTAAGTCAAATTTGCAAATTTTAATGTAAAATTAAATTTTTAACTCAAATCTACAATTTTTAAGTTGAAAATACATTTAAATAATTTTCGACTGTTTGATAAATATTAAAGTTCAAAATAGAAAAAAATATATATTATAGAAAATTTTATACGAAAACAAAAGAGATATATATTATTATTATTCACCTTCGTTCTATCATCGTAATCATCCTCAGAGATAAAGGATAAAAACTTGGCTTTGCACAATGAGCAAATCCTTCCCTGCATTGGTAACAGATCCGACTTGTACCTCAATTTCCGATGGATCTTGTAAAGATCATAAGTTCTTCTCGAATGATGATTCAAAAAGAATGGATCCGAACACAACTTAGACATTTTCTTTTGTAATCTTTGTATTTTTAGAATATTATTTAATCTTTGGTTTCTTATACTATTACTTATTTTCTGCATTCTAAGAGCATTATTCATTTTTAGTTTTTTTTTGTATTTTTCAAAGTTTTTTGTTTAAAATTGTTTTTGTTTTTAAAAATGTCAAAGTATTAAAAATCACGATTTTGTTTATTTAAAAAATATATTTATTTATTTGATTTTAAAATTACACTTAAAAAAGTTTTTTTCTATTTCTCTTGTGTCTATTAGTTGGTTAACTGGCGAAATAAATTCTTCTTCACACTTTCATTAAGCGAGTCAAACAGCAACTAATGATTAACTTCGACAAAAGTTGTTATGACATAGAGAAGAACACTGATTTTTGGTTTTGGTATTCAATAATATTCACAAACACACACACACAGCGAGTATAGCGAGTATTATTTGAACAAAGAATGATAGAACAGTACTGAGGAATATTTTGCGAAAACATCTCTATTTAATGGCATCAAGGGCCAATCGCAGGGCGAGAATTTTTCCAGGTGGTAGGGACATTATTAAAATCAAAGGGTTCTCTTTACCTCCCACTATTTATTTCCCAAAAATTTTCTTGGCGGGGATGAATTTTCAATGACATCAAATGGCAATTAGGCCAAACCTACCGATTTTTCAAAGACACACCCCCCTTAAGAAAATTTATTTATTTATTTACTTTACTTAATTTATGCATTTGTTTATTTTATTTATTTCAGTTGTATGCAAGAAGAATAAATAAAAAGTAAACAAAACATTATAAAAAATAAAATGTTTCTGTTTCTTCAAAGCAGAAATTAGAAGTTTTATTATTATACATTTAACAATTATATACTTTTTCTTAAATAATTAAACAATTTAAATGAATAATTAAATGAGGATATGAAATAAACCATACAAAAAATAAACAAATAATAATAAAGAAAATAAACAAATAATAAAATAAATAATTAGTGCTAAATCATAACTAACAAATAGTAATTTTAGCTTATAACCAATCATGTTAGCTCAAAATTGTAGTTTTAACTCTAATACTGTAGATTTAAGTTAAAAATTTAAGTTTTACATTAAAATTTGTAAATTTGACTTAAAAATTATAATTTCAGCTTCAAATCTGTTATTTAAAATATTTTTTAAATATATTTTTAACTTAAAATTTGTAAATTTGACTTAAAAATTGTAATTTTAAATTCAAATCTATTATTTAAAATTTTTTAAATGTATTTTTAACTCAAAAATTGTAGATTTTACTTAAAATTTGTAAAGTTGACTTAAAAATTGTAATTCTAGGATCAAATCTGTATTTTTTTTTATTGAAAAAATATATTTTTAAATTAAAAATAGTAAATTTAATTTAAAATTATAAAAAGATAAATGGATACGAAATAATATAATTTCAAAAATAAGAAAATAATAAATAAATACTATTAAATAATAATTCTAAAGTCTGAAATAACTTTGAATTCTTTGAAAAAATTAATTTTGAAGACTAAAAGTTGAAGGGCTGGCTGCAATAAGGGGACGAACGCGAGACTTGGAAGGGATACTACCAGTCGGGTAGCAGTGACAAGCCTTGAGCCGCTCGCTGCTACCTGACTGGTATTATCCCTTTCAACTACGCGCTCGTCCCCTTATTGCAGCCAGCCCTTCAATTGTTATTAAATTTTAAATTCTTGAGTGATTTTAAAGTCTAAAAATTAAATTTAATTCTGAAATGAATTTTAAAACAACTTTTTGAAACAATAATTTGTGAAGTAACTTTAAAAAATAAAAGATTTTCAAAAAACTGTACTTTGTATCCTTAAATGATTTTAATGTTCAAAAATCACATTATTTTGTAAAATAACTAAAATGTCTAAAAAAATTTAATTATTTATCATTTAAAATTAATTTTAAAGTCTTAAACTGCATTGAATTGTCAAAAGGTCTGAAATAACTATAAACTTTAAAATGATTGTAGAGTGTAAAATAATTTTTACGCATCCTTAAATGATTTTAAAGTTTAAAATTACATTCAAATTTAAAGCTAGATTATTTAAAAATATAAATCAATGAAAAAGTTTAAAAAATTACTCTAAATTATAAAAGAACTTAAAATCTTAAAATTACTTTAAGTTTTAAGTATAAAATTACTGAAAATAGTAAAATGACTAAAGTATTGATATTTACTTTTGGAATTTAAAAAAAAATCTATAATTTGAAATTTGTTTAAGGTGCAAAATTACTTAAAAGTGCAATATTACTTTAGTTTAAAATTACTCTAAAGTCTAAAACTACTTAAAAGACTAAAATTACTTTAATTTGAAATT